TGAAGATTTTTAATATTAAAAATTTTTAATAAAAAAATATTTTATAATTTAGATTGATTTATATTATAAAATAGGTTAAAACTCAATTTTGGTTCTTAAACTATTGTATGGACCCTCAATTTGGTCCCTAAACTAAACAAATCTTTGATTTGGTCCCTACTGTTTACCATTTTAACCCCGATTTGGTCCTTCCGTTAAATTTCTACTTACGTGTCTTGTTACTTGATGGGAAAAAGGATGACATGTCAAATATTAATACACGTGGAAGACAATAAGACCAAAAAAAGTGATGACATGGAAAAAATAATAATATAAAAAAGTATTATGAAAAATAAAACTTAAAAAAAACTTTTTTTTTTTCTTTTTCCTTCTCTTTCCTTTTCTCTTTCTGCTTCCTCTTCCCCTTCCCCTTCTCTTTCCCCCTGGGTTCGACTTCTGCGCCTGGGTTCCGTCGAACCCAGGCATGCTGGGTTCAGTGGAACCCAGCGCCTGGGTTCGATGCCCAGCATGCCTGGGTTCGATGAAACCCAGGCGCTGGGTTCCTTAAGACTCAGCCGTGGGTTCCAAAAAAAAAAAAAGAATTTCTGTTTTCTTTGTTTGGGTTTTGTTGTTTGATGATATGAGAAATTGATTAATGAAGATGAAGAAGGCAAGGCAGCCATTGGGTTTTTGCAGGTGGATGAAGATGAAGAAGGCATAGGTGCTGGGTTCGATTTCGAACCCAGCAAGCAATCGAATCTAGCATCAAACCTAGCAGCCGCTGGGTTCCTGCAGGTGCTGGGTTCGATTTCGAACCCAACAGGCATTGTGTTCAAGCTGGGTTCCTGCAGGTGCTGGGTTTGAAGGTGCTGGATTTGATTTCGAACCCAGCAGGCACTGGGTTCCGTTTTGAACCCAGCAAGCACTGGGTTCCGTTTCGAACCCAGCAACCATTGGATCCATGGATCTGTTGAGTTCCATTTGTTTATCGATCTATTGTTTATTGGGTTCTGTTTCGATCCATGGATCTGTTGAGTTCCATTTGTTTATC